TGGCTCGTGTTCATCTGACCTTTGGGAAACCCAGCTTGAGCTCCATTCGGCAGCTAATTTTGTGGCTTGCTAGTCAGGCTTGACTTGGTTTATAAGTTTGGCTGTTGATCCCTTGCTATGTGTATGAGGATTGGAATTGATTCTTGCCACCTACCTGCCTTTCATTTTGTTACTTCAACTCAATATTTGTCTTTGATATTGGATTTTGTCAGCTGTCCAACTTTTTTGTTCCAAAAACTGACTACTTGTTGCACATTGGTTATGTTCAATTTTAACAAAGAAGGGCTTGTTTCTGATTCTGACAATGCGTCACTTACAGGTGGTGAGGAAAGCACAATTGAATTCATGGAAAGTCAGAACTTTGTCACTTCCAGTGTACCTCTTCTGGATGAAGCATATGCTTATGGAGTTGTAGAACATCCTTTTCCACTAAATTGCTGTCTCAGGGAGTGGCATCTTGGTTCTGACTTCTATCAAGCTGTAAAAATCGGCATTGTCCAGTATGTATGTGCTCTCTCTGTTACTAGAAGTTCACCAGATTATTTTTCATTTCCATTTGACTGCATTTTTAGGTACTCTACTGAAATGTTTGCTTTTCCAGATGATACTGAAGATGATCTGTGCATTGCTAGCCATGATTTGTGATTTTTTCGATGTTTATGGGGAAGGGAAGTTTGAGTGGAGATATGCGTAAGTAATCCTATTTGTTCTGTCGTTTTCTTTAAAGATTTTAATGCTTATTCAAAACATTCTTCTGCTTCTAGTATTACTGCACACTATTTTCCCCATGTGAGCTGGGAGACCCAATTAGTCTTGTTTTGCTCGGTTACTCCATTAAATGTCTTTGGCCATGTTAATCTTGAAACATTAATCAATATTTCATCATATCTAGACCTCAAACTCTGTAGTTCATTTGCAGATATCCATACCTGGCTATTATTCTGAATTTCAGCCAGACCTGGGCCTTATATTGCCTTGTACAGTTCTATTCTGTCACCAAACATAAGTTGGCACCGATTAAGCCTTTGGCCAAGTTCCTGGTATTCAAGTCGATTGTATTCTTGACATGGTGGCAGGGCGTGGCTGTTGCATTTCTTTTTTCAATTGGAGCCTTTAAAGGGTCTTTGGCGCAGCAGTTGAAAACACGTATTCAGGACTATATCATCTGTATTGAGGTGTGTGATGAAATGGTTAATTCCGTTTGTTGTTCATTGCTTTTGTTGAACAAGTTTANCTAATTTTGTGGCTTGCTAGTCAGGCTTGACTTGGTTTATAAGTTTGGTTGTTGATCCCTTGCTATGTGTATGAGGATTGGAATTGATTCTTGCCACCTACCTGCCTTTCATTTTGTTACTTCAACTCAATATTTGTCTTTGATATTGGATTTTGTCAGCTGTCCAACTTTTTTGTTCCAAAAACTGACTACTTGTTGCACATTGGTTATGTTCAATTTTAACAAAGAAGGGCTTGTTTCTGATTCTGACAATGCGTCACTTACAGGTGGTGAGGAAAGCACAATTGAATTCATGGAAAGTCAGAACTTTGTCACTTCCAGTGTACCTCTTCTGGATGAAGCATATGCTTATGGAGTTGTAGAACATCCTTTTCCACTAAATTGCTGTCTCAGGGAGTGGCATCTTGGTTCTGACTTCTATCAAGCTGTAAAAATCGGCATTGTCCAGTATGTATGTGCTCTCTCTGTTACTAGAAGTTCACCAGATTATTTTTCATTTCCATTTGACTGCATTTTTAGGTACTCTACTGAAATGTTTGCTTTTCCAGATGATACTGAAGATGATCTGTGCATTGCTAGCCATGATTTGTGATTTTTTCGATGTTTATGGGGAAGGGAAGTTTGAGTGGAGATATGCGTAAGTAATCCTATTTGTTCTGTCGTTTTCTTTAAAGATTTTAATGCTTATTCAAAACATTCTTCTGCTTCTAGTATTACTGCACAGTATTTTCCCCATGTGAGCTGGGAGACCCAATTAGTCTTGTTTTGCTCGGTTACTCCATTAAATGTCTTTGGCCATGTTAATCTTGAAACATTAATCAATATTTCATCATATCTAGACCTCAAACTCTGTAGTTCATTTGCAGATATCCATACCTGGCTATTATTCTGAATTTCAGCCAGACCTGGGCCTTATATTGCCTTGTACAGTTCTATTCTGTCACCAAACATAAGTTGGCACCGATTAAGCCTTTGGCCAAGTTCCTGGTATTCAAGTCGATTGTATTCTTGACATGGTGGCAGGGCGTGGCTGTTGCATTTCTTTTTTCAATTGGAGCCTTTAAAGGGTCTTTGGCGCAGCAGTTGAAAACACGTATTCAGGACTATATCATCTGTATTGAGGTGTGTGATGAAATGGTTAATTCCGTTTGTTGTTCATTGCTTTTGTTGAACAAGTTTATGCAAGGATAAATGTGCGTAGTGTCTATTTGCCTACGCCACTCATGCATTGATATATAATCTTGTTTGAGTTATATCCAACGATCAAAATTTCATTTCAGTACATTGTTTTTTTTTTGTTCAACGTTTGGGTGTTTGGGCCAGCTTACGCGTATCTCAATTAATCTTCTCCCTCGCCTGGTCAAAGGCAGACCATCTACGTTAGNCGCCACTCATGCATTGATATATAATCTTGTTCGAGTTATATCCAACGATCAAAATTTCATTTCAGTACATTGTTTTTTTTTGGTTCAACGTTTGGGTGTTTGGGCCAGCTTACGCGTATCTCAATTAATCTTCTCCCTCGCCTGGTCAAAGGCAGACCATCTACGTTAGGACTATGGAACTCATGAGCGATAAATGTCTTATGGCCTGTCCCCAAGGGGTAGGTCAAGTGGTAACAGGGGCGAGCTGTAAACCCAGATGTCTTGAGTTCGAATCTTGGAAAAGGTCACTTGGAGGTAATGGTAATGGTTACTTAGGTGGCGACGACACAGACTACCTAGGCTTTGACTTGGAGACATTTTAGACAACTCGACCGAGGTCCACGAGACACATGACCTATGTATACTGTGGAAGGATATCAAATAGGAAGTTGTCGAGTTTTATTGGTGTCAGCCTATACTTTGCACTATCGGTGGCACCTCTATTAGGAATGCAAATTCAATAATTTATTCTCTCTGTCATTGCCGTCTTGGGACTCATGAAATCTAATGGTGAGATGAAGATCATATGTCACAAATTGCGTATTCCTCGGAGAAAAGTACTTTTTAAGTATCATTACCGCTACTTATTTAAAAAGTGAACTTTTTATTCCTTTATGTGCTTCTAGTAATCATCTATTTTGGATTATGTGGGCCGGATTTTTTTTGGTAAATTTTCATTGCAAGACCTATACATAGTTTTGTTAGGCTAATACTGTGGGAATGCTTATGTGCTCATACTTGCACCGTTTTTCTTTCTCTCGGCACATGTAACATTGATTTGAAGATTACTTTCGAGACTTTATATTCACCACACTAGATCAACTTAGATACTGTTCTGTTCCACTGCAAATTGTAAAAGAAAAATGGGAGTTTTAGTAGCCTTTTGTCTTCTTGCATGATTCAGGCAGTTGGCCATGAATCAACAGTGTATTTTGTAATAAAGTGAGGGAGGTGGAAGATTGGTACATCTGACCTTCCCCAGTACAGTGATGGGAGCCCTTTAGGGGTGCCCTTTTTTAGTTGGAAGATTGATCACCTATTCTCTCTCTTGCTAGATATTCCTTGCGTGAAACTACATCTTTTGTTTTATTCTACTTCAGTGGCTCTGAAATTTTTTTGTTTGAGAAGATTGTGCTTTGATTTATCATGCCTAAGATTACCACTTGCTGTTAGGTTAAGTGGTATACTCTGTCGCACCTCAAAGACGCAGAGGCGCAGGGGTTAAGTCTTGGAAAGGATTGCTTGGGACACAGTAGTATATTTTAAAATTGTGAAAACTTCTGACCACATTAATGTCCCGCAGTTTTTCACATGTTACTCTGATGTTTCTTCTCTTTTTCTCTTGTCCTACATCGTGAATACCTATTCTCAGTACTAATGTGTGAAGTTCATCTATTAGCTTGGCTACTCTACCACATTAGCTAGGTCCAATCCCTTGATTGGATGACTTGGGAGTGAAGACTTAAGACTAGGTTAGGGTAAAATAAAAATAGGAGCAAGAACTTAATCTGGACTTGTTTGTCTTTGTACCTAGACAAGATAGTCTGTCTGTATTCCGTAAAAAAGAATCCTNAAAATGGGGCATCTGCTGGCATGCTAACGTGATGAAATTGTTCCTGTTTAATCTTTGGGATGGAGTCGACGAAGGGATGGAATTCTACAGCACAGAAGGATTCCATGACTTACTGAAGTGGTTGGAATTGTTGGCTGGGATGGGTGTATAAGCTTCTAATTCCTAATATTGTATGTGGCTTGTGAGTTGTTTGAAAAGCCTAACTTAACCTTAGTCTGATGCATGTCAAACTTCATTTTCCATCATGCTGAGACATCAGACAACTATAGGGAGCTTTTTTTTTGCTTTATTTGGTGTTTACTATTGAATTATGGGATGGGTTTGGGTTCTTCAGGCTTTTATTTATGGCAAGGAAATTAAGAGCTAGAATAGGGGAACACTATTTCTTCTGAAAGTGTTTAGAAATTTGACTTCCACTCTTTTCCATAGCTTTGAACCATTAAGAAATCATGTACTAATCTTTTCTATTCTCTTACTGAAACAATAACATGTATTATCTTGGTTTCTAAACCAATCCTACATTTAACCGACTGTATAAGTTGTTGATTCAGTATGCTGCATGGAACTAGTCTTCTCTGTCTCATGATCTTTTTTGTTCCATTGAATAACATCCCTGGCTGATATATCTATTATGGAATAAGTTTGTCTCGTGATTTCCAAAAGTTCAGGAGGTTACTTTTTGCAGTTCTAATTTATAAATTGCCAAACAGATGGGTGTTGCTGCTGTGGTACACCTTTATGTTTTCCCAGCAATACCTTACAAGCGTGGAGAAAGATGTGTACGTAATGTATCTGTGATGGATGACTATGCATCTTTGGGAATATCCCCAGATCCAGAGGAGGTTCGAGATAGTGAAAGATCAACTAGAGTACGAATTGCTCGGCATGATGAGAGAGAGAAAGGTTTGAGACTTCATCAGAGTGTTCGTGATGTGGTTGTTGGAAGTGGTGAAATTGTGAGATAACCTTAAACTCTTTCCATTAATGTTTTTGGGATTTTTTTCTCTGTTGTGACTGTTTTGCAACATGTGGTTCCTTTGATTTCTCATGTTCTAGATTGTCGATGACATGAAGTTCACAGTTTCACACGTCGTAGAGCCTGTCGAAAGGGGAATTGCAAAACTAAATAAAACATTCCATCAGATATCTGAGAATGTGAAACTGCACGAGGAGAGAAAACGGAGTTCTAAGGATGATAATTATCTTGTTCCCTTGAACTCATGGACGAGGGAATTTTCTGATGTGCATGATAACCTTATTGAAGGGAGTAGTAGTGACAGTGGTTTACCCGATGGGAAGAGATCACAGTCCACATCCAAAGCAACATCATCTCGGTTTGTACACAGATTATTTTCCCTGTAATTCATTACAGAAGTAAACTTCATATGACAAATAGAGTTTGATTTCATTTTCTGACAACATCAGCACACCTGGTACATATACTCGACTCTGAATGGTCTCTCAATTTTCCAATTATGTTCAGATAGATCATAGATGGATATTGAAAAATGATATAGAAGACAAGATAAAGTCGTGAAGATTAGGCTGCAGTACTTGGATGCTAGAAAATTTGATGATTAAGCATTTCATAATGCGTGGAGGATTCTTGAGGGCAGATATTGTCGATGGCCTCTATTCAAAGAGTTGCCGCAGAACCAGAAAAACGTATAGGAGAACCAGCTGGTAGAACAGTTTCTCGTTTTTATTTTTTGCTTAAAACATTAAAACCAAATGTCTCGATTGTAGAGAGTGTACCATAGATGACTCTGGGTAGAAATTTACATCAGTCCTCACTCGGAAAATATACACCATCATTGTACACCTTCAATACACAATTCTTAATTTTGTATATGAACTGTAGCTATGTTTATTGATTAAGATTTTTTATTCGAATGTAGATTGTATTCTGGTTACCTACTTAACTATTAACCTATTGTTGGATCTCAAGCCTTCATGGAGAACTCCACAAATAGGTCATTAGGAGTCATCTTTATTTTCATATTAGAACTGTGACTGTGACAGGCCAAGTTGGTCCTGGACTTGGTTTTCTACTATTTTCTGCCCCCCCTCCCTCCCCCAACCAATTCATGGTTTGAAGTTTGTATTGTGATTGAATACCTACTTACCATTAGATATTTTTGACACTTGTGTGTAAAAAGTGTCATCTATCCATCGAATCATTGCAATGTCTGAGTTTGATGGCATCTATTGTATATATCTTCCCTATTGAATGATAGATGTTTTTGTGAATTTGGTTTTGCTGGAAATCTGAACTTTCTTGTAGTATTACGGGAATATAGCAATATTTCCTATCCTGATGCAGGTTACTCCATATTATATTTTCTTTTTCCGTTTTTCTCTTCAGGGGGTAATACGGAAGCTTTACATTTGGAGTTTGGGGTTAAGCATGATGCTTTCTCTGTTTCACTGGTATTTGATGGTTTGNTCTCTTCAGGGGGTAATACGGAAGCTTTACAGGTGGAGTTTGGGGTTAAGCATGATGCTTTCTCTGTTTCACTGGTATTTGATGGTTTGAATGGGGAGGAAGGGTTGTGGATGAGTAATTTTACTATGAGAAATTACTGGCTCATTGTTGTGCTGTATGGGCCTGTCTAGAGATTGTTCTTGATATGGAAGGGGATTCTAGGACTCAGTTTTTGTGTTGATGTTGTCTGAGCCATCATTTTCTTTGGAAATGCATGTGACGTTTTAGGTGCCTTCTAAAGTTGTGTTCTTTGCTTTGTCCTGCTACATTGGAGAGTATCATGACGATATTTAGTGTGGTTGTGTTCTTTGCATCGTCCTGCTACATTGGAGAGTATCATGACGATCTTTTGTGTGGACGTGTTCTTTGCTTCATCCTGTTAAATTGGAGAGTATCATGACGATCTTTAGTGTGGTTCTGTTCTTTGCTTTGTGGTGTTACATTGGAGAGTATCACGACGATCTTTACTGTGGTNATGTGTTCTTTGCTTCATCCTGCTAAATTGGAGAGTATCATGACGATCTTTAGTGTGGTTGTGTTCTTTGCTTTGTGGTGTTACATTGGAGAGTATCACGACGATCTTTACTGTGGTGAAGGTATAAAATTAATCCATCCAATGTGGTATGGTGTTGCATGCTAGGTCACTTGAAGCATCATTTTATATATAAGGTCACTGAGCATATTAGACCCGTTCATGGGTGTGGGATGGGAAGACTTCGTACTTCATTATGTTTAACGTATATGGTAATTTTCACTATACCGTTTCAGTAGGAGGGTCGTACTTGGCAATGTGTATATTGTTTTCCCCCTTTTTTGTTGTATATATTTTTCGATTTGTGATATGAATATTACTTTATACGAACTCGAAAATATATATGTAACATTGGTTTAGACTCCAATATGTCCTTTTTTTTCCTCTCTGATTCTGTTTGTGTCCATGCAGAATTTGAAGTTTCTTTGTTTGGTTTTGTTAGTAAATGAAACGAGTGAATTTTATTTCATGAAGGTTAAAGTTGAGAGATGAAGGGTTGTTACTGTTGGGTTTTTGATACATATATAATACGNTATTTGGGACACAAAAAAAGATTATTGAGGCTAAATTTGTGAAGATGGGTCTGTAAGTGAGATGTTCTAGTGCGTGCGATAGGAAGAAGGGATCCATTATCCATAGAAACATCGTTTGGTCCTTGATAGGTAGAAGAGAAATCAAGATTAGCTAGATCTAAAATAAGATGAGTGGTTGCTCCAGTGTCTGTAATCTAGTAATTTGATTAAGTTGGAGAAGTATTGTATGATGCTACCATAGCAGCAAGAGTAGCAGGTGGATCTTTGCCTTGGTAACCATAATCCATCCTATGATAACAATCAAGAGCGAAATTATCAGGTTTGTTGCATATTTCATTGGATGCATCCAGACTTTGTACCTCGAGATCCAGAATTGGAATTGGCTTTGAGGTTTGGAAAATGTATTCACTTGTGTTCCTGAGAAATTATTACTATGACTTGATAAATTTCCAGATTGTGAGTTGAAATTTTGAGAATTATAATGAGGATTGAAGTTTTGTCTTCCACCTCCACCTCTTGAATCAGATCCACTTCTCCCTCTTCCGTATGAATTGTGTCCTCGACCTCTTCCTCTATTGTTTGAGATGAACCATTGGTGTTGTATTGCATCCATAGCAGTTGGAACAAACTAAGATTGCATTGTATTCAGAGGATAGACTATTGAGAGTGTATATAAGCATGTCTTCATCATTGATAAGAATAGAAGCAATAACAAGTTTATTTCTGACCTCCTTGATTTTCTGGAAGTAGTTGTCTATAGGTACTTCGTCTTTGAACACATATTGAAGGTAGTTCTAGACTTTCTAGACCTCGGAGGAACGGTTCTAGCAACTCTTTTCTAACTTTTCTGTTTTTCTTCTCCGGATTCCAGTCCCTTTTCTTTCCTATGCTTTCTATGATCTTCTAACTTGATTCCAACATGCTCCTCTTCATCATCTTTGCTCCTACAAACACAAATACAACAATTAATCCAATCTTAACACAATTCAAGTACTTAAATTTTGAATAAAGACATAAAATGGATGGACTAACTTATCAAATATGTAATATTACACCCTCAACAATTCAATTTTTTGAAAAAGAGAATAGAAAAAAGCTAACAGGAAAACTAAAAAATAAATTTAAGTTTAAACTTACCACCATAATTTTTTAATCATTCTCTCCCTCTTCCCCTCCCTCTCTCTCTCTTACCATGACGTTCAAATATGGTAGCGAAAATTTAAATTAATATTTTTGTATTTTAAAAAAATTAAAATTAAAATTTTCATTAATATTAAAAATAAAAAAATCTCATTTATTATTTTTACTTTAGACCCCAAAATATCTTGCACGCCCATTGATCCATCCTTGAGTGATAGTAATTGTGAATTGTGGTTATTGGAGTTGTAGTTCTCGATGCGCTGTATTAATTATTTGACGATACTATGTGTCAATGATNCTCTTCATCATCTTTGCTCCTACAAACACAAATACAACAATTAATCCAATCTTAACACAATTCAAGTACTTAAATTCTGAATAATGACATAAAATGGATGGACTAACTTATCAAATATGTAATATTACACCCTCAACAATTCAATTTTTTGAAAAAGAGAAAAGAAAAAAGCTAACAGGAAAACTAAAAAATAAATTTAAGTTTAAACTTACCACCATAATTTTTTAATCATTCTCTCCCTCTTCCCCTCCCTCTCTCTCTCTTACCATGACGTTCAAATATGGTAGCGAAAATTTAAATTAATATTTTTGTATTTTAAAAAAATTAAAATTAAAATTTTCATTAATATTAAAAATAAAAAAATCTCATTTATTATTTTTACTTTAGACCCCAAAATATCTTGCACGCCCATTGATCCATCCTTGAGTGATAGTAATTGTGAATTGTGGTTATTGGAGTTGTAGTTCTCGATGCGCTGTATTAATTATTTGACGATACTATGTGTCAATGATTATATGATATCACCGTTGCATTGAATATTTACTTGCAAATGTCATGTAATGGATTTTGTTTGTGGGTTTTTGGGTGGGGCGGGGGGGTTGGNTATAAAATTTTAATTAATATTTTTGTATTTAAAAAAAATTAAAATTAAAATTTTCATTAATATTAAAAATAAAAAAATCTCATTTATTATTTTTACTTTAGACCCCAAAATATCTTGCACGCCCATTGATCCATCCTTGAGTGATAGTAATTGTGAATTGTGGTTATTGGAGTTGTAGTTCTCGATGCGCTGTATTAATTACTTGACGATACTATGTGTCAATGATTATATGATATCACCGTTGCATTGAATATTTACTTGCAAATGTCATGTAATGGATTTTGTTTGTGGGTTTTTGGGTGGGGCGGGGGGGTTGGAATGGTCCAGCATTACTAAATAATCTTATTAGTGGTAATGGTTGAATTCATTTTGCCAACACTAATTGCTCAGTTAATATACCCCAATTCAATATGCAATAGATTAGGTCAACAAAAAATATTTAAAAATTGAGTTCAAATAGTAATATTATTTATAATTTTTCTCTCCCTTGAATTTTCTTGTACAATCCTCAGTCTAATTGAACTAGACACGAAAGGGTAAAGACCTTATTCACATAATTCACTCTTAATTTAATTGAATTTGGGCTTTGGGAGTGGATTCTCCATTAATTTACATTCTCATTTTACTAAATTCACGAATTTAATTTATCAGTTTACGAATTCGACTAATTCGCATTCTCACTTGCTTATGTGCTCACTCATTTTTAATCAAAATTTTCTTTGGCAAGTGTAGATTCACACCAAAAGATATTTATCAAACTAGAATGATATTTGTAATTTATGACTATTACTTTGGAATCTTATAATCAACACATTTAAAAATTAAATAATTTATCGAATAGTTGTGCGTGGAGTTTAATTTATTAAATTATATTTTTATCAACTTTTATGTGTGAAACAGAAAAGTGAGCTAATCCAACCAATCTTGCTTGCACAATGAAAAGGGCCACTGGTTTATCTCTCCAGCGAATTAAATTGGCCAAAGGCGTGCGTTCATGAGCCCATGCTAAAGTTTCAATCAATTCCTGTGCCCAAACAAGATGTCCAAATAAGAACATCCACGCCCAGACCGATAAACTATTCATATCGAAAGGGTTATATCCATTGATAAGTTGTATGTCTGTATGCAAATAATATGACGCTCTTAAAACGTTCTTACTCTAAGACTCGAAGGTCTTTTTTTTTTTTAGCTACTCTTGCACTCTCGTTCTTGCAACCACTCCTGCTCTATGGGTCTGTTTGGTTAGAAAGAAAAAAAATGGTAGAGTGAAAGTAGTAGAAAGTGAAGTGAAAGAAAGAAAAAAGAAAAAAAAATATATTTTCTTTCATGTATTTAGTTAACATAAAAATTTTGAAAAAAAATTAAAACAAAATTCATTCTATTGTTTGAAAGGTAGTAAAGTTGCTAGAAAATTTTGAAAATTGTCTGAAATATCCTTATTTATA